AGAGACAGCGGGGAGTAGAACAGGCAGATCGATGAAGTACACTGCTGAGGGGAGCAGTGGGCGGGTCAGGAGAGGTCTGCCGCCATGTGGATCTCCTCCGGGGCAGGCAGGGATCGAACTCATGCGGAAGCGGCTTTAGCTTCTTAGTGCTGTGCTTTAACCCGCTGCGCCACCAGGGGGGCCCAACTAAAATACATTTTTAATGTCTGCTTCATTGTATTGGAATAATGATTTAATGAACTGAGTTTGGAGAAGGTGCTAAAGGCAGCAAGGAGTATGGCAGCTGCTTAATAGGGAAGCTTTCTCCTGCTGCCACTGGACCTTAACCTAGACTGTACCCTCTTTTGTCCCTTTCTTTAGTGACAAGTTATGTCACTGTCCCACCTGTACCGGGACGGGGAAGGCCACATGGATGACGATGAGGATGAGCGAGAGAACTTTGAGATTACTGACTGGGACCTCCAGAATGAATTCAACCCCAACCGGCAGCGCCACTGGCAGACCAAAGAGGAGGCCACCTATGGAGTGTGGGCAGAACGGGACTCTGATGAAGAACGGCCCAGCTTTGGAGGCAAACGGTATTGGTTGGCACAGGCTCTTTCTCTCGAGGGGGAGGAGAGGAAGTGGGCATACCCTCTAAAAATAATTATGCGCTAAATATCCATCTCTTACTGAGTCTGTTAGTGCCAACACCAACCAGGTGGTCCAGTTCTCTCCTGACTGGAGCTCTGCTCATTCACTGAGTGGGTCGGCAGCTGGTACTTACTGAGCAGTGACATGCATTAGACCTTGTGCCGCAGACGCAGTCTTTTGTCTTCCAAGAGCCAAGACTATTGGATCGGGACAGTCTGATGGATGCTAATGGATCCTGTGGTTTAGAGTCCAAGGGAAAGCGCTTACTAGGGTGTCTGACCTGTCCTGGGAGATCAGAGAAGACTGCAGTGGAGTGGTGACTTTGAGTGTATTGTATGAAGGTGGAAGCTAGGGTGGCAGGAGAGGCATGAGTAAGCAAAGACCCATGGTGGGAGGGAATGAGGATATGAAAGTGTGGAATGGAATGGAGGGAGGGTGGAGAGAGGGCGGGTCGTCTGAGAAAAGGCCTGTAGCAGTTGGAGGGGGGCATGCGAGGTGGAATTATGTTTGAAGAAGACCCTTTGCAGCTGTGTGAGGTGGGTGCATAGCCATAGAAAGGGGGCTGTAAAGAGGCGGCGGCAGGGGTCTCTGCGGGAGTGGGGGCCAGGGCTGGGTGGCGGCAGCTCAGGCTGAAGGTCCTCCACGTGAAGCCCTGAGTGGTCTGGCACCGCTCGCTCACTCAGCGTGTGTCACAATTTGGGATTGTCCCCTCTCCCGACTTGGGGCCTGGGGCTCCAGCCAATGGAGATTGTGCTTTTTTCAGAAAGAAAGGGTGCAAGAAAGAGCATAAGGTCTGTCTGATCCCTTGTTGTCAGGCAAGGACCTGTGAAGGTGGGTGGCAAATGGGTCAGGGCAGACCCATTGTGTGAGCTAACTTAATAAGGGCATCCGGCGTCTGTTGGCTGCTTATGTGTTCTAGGTCTTCAGTGTGCAGTCTCTGCCTGTTGGGAAAGCTGTTGTTATCATCACCCCGTTTTTAGTAATTAGAATGAAGAAACTGGACAGAAGTCACATAGCCAGGCCATTAGAATCTGAGCTTGTCTGACTCTGAGTTTGGGTTCTTAACCACTAAGTTTTAGCACATCTCTTAGGGGAAAAGCTCTGAATTGTGATGCTCTAAGAATTTTCTGGCCAGCAGAGATTCTATGAGGGGTGGTGGCTGGAGCGTTTTTGTGGACCCCGTGTGTGATGTGTTTGCCCTCAGAGCCCGTGACTACTCTGCGCCAGTCAGCTTCATCAGCGCGGGACTCAAGAAAGGGGCAGCTGAGGAGGCGGACTTGGAAGATTCCGATGAAGAAGAGAAACCTGTCAAACAGGAAGACTTTCCCAAGGATTTTGGACCAAAGAAGTTAAAAACGGTACCATCTTTGTTGCAGGCTTGGCCTCCGCAATAGCCTGGGGAAGCCATGGCCGCCAGCCATCTCCTAGGGAGGACTTCAGCAGGAGGGGGGTTGCATGGGCTTCTCCTGGTGGGGGCAGGTTTCGGTGAGGCGTGGAGTGTGCAGTGCACTCTCTTTCCTGACTCACCACAGGTAGGTGTTTGCCGTGTATGCGCTTCTCATGGTGCACTGAGGTGCCGCTCCACTTTCCTAATGGCCGAGCTGGCTTTCTTAGATTTTCTTTTCTGTCAACTAAAATTTGAATTTTCTTCTTTTCAGGGTGGCAATTTTAAACCCAGCCAGAAAGGTTTTGCAGGAGGAACCAAATCTTTCATGGACTTTGGCAGCTGGGAAAGACACACAAAAGGAATTGGACAGAAGCTTCTTCAGAAAATGGGCTATGTCCCTGGAAGGGGTCTCGGGAAGAATGCACAAGGTACGGTCCTTGCTCTGCCCTCCTGCATGAAGGAGCAAGGCAGAGGGGTGGAGGGCAGTTTGGGGCATGGATTGTGTGGTTTATGCTTTTTCTCTTAAAAGTCCTTTAATGCTGCAGTATGGTCTGCCAGCACAAGACAGCTTGTGCTCCTGAACTGGCAGACTTTGTCAGAATGCAAATAAAAGACTTGTTTCAGCAGGAGGAAAAGGATGGTGGCCAAAAGAGGCTGCAGACTGTTAGGCCTGGCCTGTTACTTGTTCACTGTTAACTAAACAAATTGAGGGGGTTGTCAATATTTAAAAATCAGTTTTGGGCCCTCCCTGGGGGCACAGTGGGTTAAAGCACAGCACTGAGAAGCTAAAGCCACTTGAGCATGAGTTCGATCCCCGCCTGCCCTGGAGGTGACCACATGGTACGGCAGACCTCTCCTGACCCGCCCGCTGCTCCCCTCAGCAGTGTACTTCGTTAGTTGGCCTTTCTGCTCCCTACTCTGTCTCTGGTGAATCCTCTCACCACCCCTGCACCTCTGTCCTGTACCCCAGTTCTGTGTGCATAAATAAATAAATCTTTAAAAAAAAAATCAGGCAGTTTCACTTAGCATGGCAGTAGCTGCCCCAGGACAGTGCCCTTGCCTTTTGGAAGTCATCGCCACTATTCCCCACTGGCCTTGCCCAGACCACTTTCCTGGTTTATGTTATTTTTTCTTGAGCCCTGTGTGCATGAGATTGCAGCCCTTGCTCCATAGAGTTTCAATTTTGCAAAAAAAAAGTTTTTTGGCCTTGAGGAATCTCAACAAAATTTCACACATAGCTCTTTTGTAGCTAGAGACGGAGCTACCACCTTGACCCATGGCCCTGACTCTTCTTGGCTCCAAGCTCCCCCTTAAATATAGCTCCTCCCACATATTCTCAGATCCTGGACAACAAAGCCCTGAAACCTAGTAGTTGGATTCTTCTGCAGGAACCTATCTTCCCATGTGACCTAATTCTTGTGAACAGGTGCTGGCAGATAATCACTTCTCTATAATTCATATTCCACTAAGTGATAAATAGCGATTATGTGTTGAAAACATCAGCTATATAAAAAAATCAAATGAATCACATTGGTGGCTTGAAATGAAAATGAGGTGCCTGTTCTAATTTGAGATTTCAACAGTAATTGGGAGAGAGAGTGGTGGAAAGTTCAGAATGGGGGGATTGTTACAATGTAATTGTGTTAGCAAGCTCTTTTATAAGATAAACATACAGTTCCAAGGTGCAAACACATCATAAAACATTAAGCTTGGGAGAGATGACTGCTAACTAAAATAGGTGGCATTTCACATTACATTGCAGTTTCACCTCATTTTATAAGAATGATGTGTCATCTGAATGACAGCACTTTCCCTAGAGGCTTACACTTGAGTGAAACGTCCAATTTAGTATGACGATGTTCAAGTTGTGAGTGAATTGTTATCTTCCTGTCCACTGAACAGTGAGTTCAAATGCATCTGGAACTCCCTGTTTGGCACATACGTGGTCTAGTAACTGTTGCGTGGCAGCTTACGTGCCCAGGAGTCTCAGATCCCACGGACCCGAGCAGTGGTCCGAGCAGAGAGGAGCTCTCTTTCAGGGTGACACTTGGGATGTGGAAGGACAAAGGAGGTACGATTCAGAGTGGCTTAGTCAAATACAAGAATTGCTGTGATCCGAACTCTCTCTTTTATCTGTTCCTGAAATGTGCCAGGTATCATTAACCCAATTGAAGCCAAGCAGAGAAAGGGGAAGGGTGCCGTGGGGGCTTATGGCTCGGAACGCACCACCCAGTCCCTGCAAGACTTCCCCGTGGTAGACTCGGAAGAAGAAGCTGAAGAGGTAACCCTACGCCAGGGTCCTGGGTGGGTGGCATCACTGTCGTGTGGCGGTGTTCAGTCGTCAGTCTTCAGTCCGCTGCCATGCACTATGGGCCAGGCACGGAAGCTGGGCTGTTCTCGTGCAAGGGTTTGGTGCTGGGTCAGAGCCAGCCAGTAGAGAAGCAGCTGCAGTGCTTTTAATAGATAGCAGCCTCAGGGAAGCCCTTGTTAGGGAAGGAACCATTTTCACTGGCCTCAGGTGGAGAAGGCCCCAGCCTTACAGGAGTTGAGGGTCCAGGGGACATTGAGTGGGCAGCCCGGAGTCTGACGGTGAAGATACAAAAGGGAGGCCATGTGCCAGGCGGAATCCCGCTGGGCGCCGGGAGGGAGGCCACGGTGGGGTGGGCGGGCTACCCTGCCAGGCCAGCCTCGTGCTGGGCTTCCCTGCACAAACAGGAGCCATCTGCTGCCAGCTGTGTGTTGTTCTACGTCAGTGATTGGATTGATACTTTCTCCCTTTGCATTTATGAGGGGAAGCAGGATGCTAACTGCCACTGACCCTGTACTGAGGAAGAGGACTTTCTGTTAGGTGGGGTTGAGCTCTCTTAAGTTAGGGACTGTCGGGCTTAGACGCAACAGGTGCCAGCATGCAGCAGAAGAAATGTGAGCAGGGGTGGGCACCAGTGAGTGGTGGCGCCTTAGGGTCTCCTCTCAAAGGCAAGTGTCCCTTCAACTCTATGGGTTGTTGTGTAGAATGAACTTCAATTGTCCCAAAGTAAAAGTCAGAGACATTTGTAGGAAGAACTACAAGTTTCACACCAGGTGAGGGAAGCAAAGGGATGAGCGCAAAGCCCACACCTTGGGCTGGACTCCGCTTCCCTCGTGGTAAGGTGCCCTCCGCTGCCTTACATCTTGCAGAAGAGCTTTGCAAGCCCTGATTGGAAGGCACCTTTGCCTTGAGACTTGGGGACCTGCTTGTTTACCTTCATCTCACATTGGAACCAGGGTTTTCTGTACTGAAATCCTTCGGTCTGTACTTCTGAGTTCTTCTGCGATGTGAATTGAAACCAGCACAGTGCCTGCCCATAGTCGGGGCTCTGTGGATGTTGCTGATAGGGTTATTGTGTTTCTCCTTCCAGTCTGGTGCACCTGCCTTCTGCACCCCCTCATTTGTAAGGGGTGAATAGATGGGAAGGCATGTCATTAGATGGGTTGGTCAGGCCGGTACCATCCTTGCCTTAGAACCTGGTCCCTATGTAAGGTGGTGGCTAGTAAATGCCCACTGAGGGGTCGCTGTGGCCCATCTGCTATAAAAAGTGGACTTTCTGTATGACTGAGTGTTTCCCTCTGGTTCAGGAGTTTCAGAAGGAGCTGAGCCAGTGGAGGAAAGACCCCAGCGGAAGCAAGAAGAAGCCCAAATACTCCTACAAGACAGTGGAAGAGTTGAAAGCCAAGGGCAGGATTAGCAAGAAGCTCACTGCTCCCCAGAAGGAGCTTTCTCAGGTCAAGGTATGGCAGCCCTTGGACACTGTCTCAGGATGTGGTGCTAGAAAACAACTAACGTCCTCCCACACCCCAGAGTCAGTCTTCAAGCATTTTCTTTGGTCTCTTTCAGTGGTTCTGTCTAGGCTTACTTTTTAAAAATCCCACTTTTCTCACTGGAGAGCAACATTGCACTCATAATTCATGACAGTTACCAGGAGCTTCTCTTGGGGTGGTAAGTCAGTGCCCGTCTCTGTGGTGTTTAGTCAGTGCATTGACTGACGTTGCTGTTCCCAACAACGTAACGTGAGCCTCACTTGCAGTGAGCGCCTTAATTTGGGAGTGGCTGCATTGTCTTGTTGTCTGTCCAGGCAGCCCCTCATCGCAGGACCTGTAACTTTCTGGCAGGTTTGGGTTGGGTTTTTGCAGGCTAATTTGTACTTAGAGCGTAGACTCTGTCCCAGGCATTTTTGAAGGTGAGATTCCCAACTCGGTCACAGCCCCTCAACACTGGAAGGGTGGCCTGGCTCTGCCGTGAGCTGCTTGCCAGCATGCTTCTCGTGAGGCTGAGTCTGTTGTGCCCACGCAGGCCCTCGGGTTCCTCTTCTGCCCCAGGCCACGTGGTGATGGTGGCAAGGTAGGGGGGTAGGTTTGGCGCAGGCTGGGACAGTCTGTGTCAGAGGGCTGAGTCTGGTGTTGTGCATCCAGTTACCCGGGGCCTGATAGGTGCAGATGTCCGGGTCCCAGCCGGGACCAAGTCACTAGGTCTAGACTGGGCCTGAGACTATTTCTCTACCTGGTCTTTGGGTCACTCTCAAGTGGCAAGTTCCATATTCCTGCCCCTCGGTTCTCTTGACTGTTAGAATTAGCTTGTTCTCTAGGTTACCTTACTTCAGTAACTTTTATGTTTCATTTTGTTTTTAAATTTAACTTGTTAATATTTTGCTTTTCTTAAGTTTAAAAACAACGCTTCGTTGTTAGAGCAGAATGGTGCATTTTAGTCAGGTAGAGGGGCCTGTGGCTTAAAGGTAGTCTCCGAGTTGATGGCCAGGGTTAACATCGACCACGTCTCTGCCTAAATATGCGTGTTTACCAGAATAGCTTCTGACTGTGTGTGCTGGCCTTGGGCCTGCTTTGGCCCATGCAGCTTGACTTTCCTGTGTCAGTGGGGTTTCCTCCCAACTGTGTGGTCTGCTTTCGACTTTTATTCAGTTTTCCCCAATTCTTCTCTGGTCCACCCAGAGGGATCCAATCTAGAACAGCTTCTTGACGCCAGCAGTGAGGCAGAGACCCTCTAACAGTGCGGCGCGGCCCACGCTGGGTCGGCCCGCCTGCTCTGACGAGTGGCGTGGGCGCATTTCTCTGGCGCTCGGCCTCCCACCGCGGGCCAGCTTCATGAGTGGCAGCAGAGCATATTGACCGCGCCTCCTGCCGTGTCCTCCAAGGTCATAGACATGACGGGCCGCGAGCAGAAGGTCTACTACAGCTACAGCCAGATCAGCCACAAGCACAATGTCCCCGACGATGGGCTGCCGCTGCCGTCCCAGCCACTGCCCCAGCCTGGCAAGGAGGCCAAGGCCCCAGGCTTCGCGCTGCCCGAGCTGGAGCACAACCTGCAGCTGCTCATCGACCTGACAGAGCAGGAAATCATCCAGAACGACCGGCAGCTGCAGTACGAGCGGGACATGGTGGTCAACCTCTCTCACGAGCTGGAGAAGGTGTCGGAGGTCCTGGAGCATGAGGAGCGTGTCATCACCAACCTCAGCAAGGTCCTGGAGATGGTGGAGGAGTGTGAGCGGCGCCTGCAGCCGCACTGCAGCGACCCGCTCACCCTGGGCGAGTGCGCGCGCATCTTCGAGACGCTGCAGGACAAGTACTACGAGGAGTACCGCATGTCAGACCGCGTGGACCTGGCCGTGGCCATCGTCTACCCGCTCATGAAGGAGTACTTCAAAGAGTGGGACCCTCTCAAAGTGAGTTGTGGAGAGTCTCCCCACTTCCGGTGGGGGGTGCCTGGACTCGGGAGTGTCGGAGAGTAGCAGGGTGGGTGTGCCTGCCCTCAGCTGCTGGGCATTTTTCCCCAGGACTGCACTTACGGCACCGAAATCATCTCCAAGTGGAAGAGCCTCCTGGAGAATGACCAGCTCTTATCCCACGGAGGGCAGGACCTCTCAGCGGACGCCTTCCACAGGTACTCAGTGCTGCGGGCTAGGCACCCTGTCGCCATCTCCGGCGGGAGCAGGATGGCTGCTGCGCGGGGGTGGGGCACAGGCCCATCAGCGCTCAGCCGGCACTGCTGTGGGAAGCCCAGTTCGTCCAGTGATGCTTGTGCGAGTCTTGAGTGTCACACACGAGCTAGATGCTGCCTGACCCCGGATCAGGCAGGCGGTGCTGCCTAGTGAGGAGACAGGTGGCTTGTCAGGAGGCGGACGAGTATACCCAGAAGACATGTGGGGCAGAGCCGGGGAGAAGTCCACGGGCCTGCAGCGGTGGGGATGTGTGGCAGGCCTCAGCAGAGGGGGTGCTCTTTGAGCTCAGCTGGGCATAGAGCTCTGGGTGGGCAGAAGGGGCCTTGGGACCCTGCCTCAGCCAGGCTGAGAGGGCAACTGAGGCACAGGATTTCGTCGGCAGCCAGGACAGCATGGGTGAGGCCCAGGTCTGAGCATGGGGACCAGCCCGGCTGTCTGGGATTGGCTTTCTGTTTTGCCCTCTTTTCCTGCTCTCGAGAGGGCGTGGGGCACTCGTGTGTGTGCAGAAACCAGCAGTGCGCCTGCCCCTTTCCCTGCAGGCTGATATGGGAGGTCTGGATGCCTTTTGTCCGAAGCATCGTCACTCAGTGGCAGCCGAGGAACTGTGACCCGATGGTGGACTTCTTGGATAGCTGGGTGCACATTATTCCCGTGTGGATCTCAGACAACATACTAGACCAGCTCATCTTCCCCAAGCTGCAGAAGGAGGTAGAGCCGAGTCTGGAAACCACTGTCATCGGTTACCACGGGATCTTGCTTAGCGTGTCTGGCACGGTGCTGTAAAATGCCTGGAATTGACGGAATTTGTCAATGCCGGTCCTGTCATATTAACACCGGCCCTTTCCCAGCATCTTCACTACCCCTCCCTTCCCCACCCAATAGGGAATTCATTTTCTAGACAAAATTAGACTTGTGCATTTCTGAAGCTAGTTTCGCGGTCACCTTCATGGGCATGTTGCCATGGGGAAAGGCAGTTCCTAATGTCTCAAGGCTCCATGGCTGCTTTTTGGACCTAGTGTGTTCCCACTGAATGGCATGTCCCGCGCACGTTGGCCTTGGCCCTCATCCAGAGCTGTGGTGGCCTTGCCATGAATGTCACAGGGTGTCATATGAGTGTCCCCAGACTACACGAACCTTTCCTCCCATTCCTGCAGGTGGAGAACTGGAACCCCCTGACAGACACCATCCCCATCCACTCCTGGATCCACCCGTGGCTCCCCCTCATGCAGGCACGCCTGGAGCCACTGTACTCCCCCATCCGCAGCAAGCTGTCCAGTGCTCTGCAGAAGTGGCACCCCAGTGACTCATCTGCCAAGCTCATTCTCCAGCCCTGGAAAGACGTCTTCACCCCTGGCTCCTGGGAAGCATTCATGGTCAAGAACATCGTCCCCAAGCTGGGTAAGGATGTGGGGGAAACATCCAAGTCCTGTAGCCTTCTGCCCTGCTTTGGCCTGCTTAGAGCGTGGCCTCCAAGCTCAGGAAAGCTTAGCACCCAGTAAAGGAGAAGCCCCTGAACAGTGGAGTGGCTGTAAGGCAGCCAGGGGCCCCTCTGCTCTTCACTGCGGCACCATTGAAAGCTGTTGTGACAGTCAGATGTGGTCAGACTCTGGGTCCTGCTCAGTCTGGCATGGTAACGGTTTTCTGGTAACGGAATAGCCCTTGGTGATCTGAAATGTCTGTATTTCCTTTTAAATGTATCGGTGTTATTTCTGGGTTAGAAGGAAAAGGTTTTGAAGAATTGGCATGTCAGGGGCTGAAAACCGACCTTTGAGAGATCAGACTGACATGGTCTGGAGGTGACGCTGCTGTGTGCTTCTGGGGCCTGAGAGACTGGGCTTCTTTTCCAGGGATGTGTCTGGGAGAGCTGGTCATCAACCCCCACCAGCAGCACATGGACGCGTTTTATTGGGTCATCGACTGGGAAGGGATGATCTCTGTCTCCAGCCTGGTGGGGCTTCTTGAAAAGCACTTCTTCCCCAAATGGCTTCAGGTATGTTCTGTCTCACATTATCTTGTTGGGGGCGTCATGGGTTTGGGGAGAATTCACTAAATCTTCTGCCGAGGTCTGACTGTAGAAGATCCTGGACTTAGGGATCTGGTCCGAGGGGTGTGTGTAATAACTACACGATGAGTGTCAGTCACATAGAGGGTGGAGCCACAGCACCCCCACCACGTCCTCACCTGCCAGCTACTGTTCTAGACACTTCATTTGCATTATCCCAACTCTCTTTTGGCGTAGGAGCTGTGGCAACCCCATTTAATAAATGGGAGGCTGAAGCTCAGGAAGTTTCCACGCAAGGGGACTTAGCTGCCAAGCTGACTCCAGATTCGATTCTGAAGTGCCATACTGTTCAGCTCCTAGAAATCCTTGCACGTGTTACCTGCTCCTGGGCCAGGCTCGCAGCAGACGGCCCCTTGGGAAGTTGCTGCCAGGTGCCACTGTGGATACAGCCTTGTTTGTTCCTTTTTGGCAGGTGCTGTGCTCCTGGCTCAGTAACAGCCCAAACTATGAGGAGATCACTAAGTGGTACCTGGGTTGGAAATCCATGTTCTCAGACCAAGTCCTGGCACACCCCTCCGTCAAGGACAAATTCAATGAAGCTCTGGACATCATGAACAGGGCAGTGTCCTCCAGTGTCGGTGAGTGTGGACTTCCTCTCTGCGGGGCTGGGCCCTGAGCTCTGTGTCTGTGAACACATGTGTGACACGCAGTGTTTGCAGGTATCTGGAGAATTGCCTGAAGTGTAGCTCACCCTCAACATGGTCTCCCAGACTCAGCGAGGTGGTCAGCCAGCACCTGCCGGGGAGAGGCCCTACTGCCTGACTGGAGACCAAGTCTGAATTTACACTTGAGTCTACCTCCCGAGCTACCTGTGTACCTTTTTTTTTTTTTAAAGATTTAGTTATTTGTGCATACAGAACTGGGGTACAGGCCAGAGGCTCAGAGGCAGTGAGAGGCTTCACCAGAGACAGAGTGGGGAGCAAAACAGGCAGATCGACGAAGTACACTGCTGAGGGGAGCAGCGGGCGGGCCAGGAGAGGTCTGCTGCGCCATGTGGTCACCTCCGGGGCAGGCGGGAATCGAACTCATGTGGAAGTGGCTTCAGCTTCTTAGTGCTGTGCTTTAACCCCCTGCGCCACCAGGGAGGGCCCCTACCTGCGTACCTTTTAAGGTTCATTCCTGAGTCCCTCAAGCCAGCCCCACAGCCTGGGTGTGCTACTCAAGTAACAGCTCACAGCATGGAGTGAGCAGGGACAGTCTGACATTACTTCATCCATTTTCTCTGCTTACAAACCTGTAATACCTATTTTCTAAATTTTATTTTAAAAAAGAGGAATGAGCATGGTACTCAATAGGTGGTGTCTTGTGTCAGATTATAGTACTCATTGAGAAGCAAAGGCAGTTGGATTAACTAGCCCTGTTTCACAGGTAAGCTCAGCAAGGTTAAGGTCACATAACCAAAAGGTGGTACCTGGAGTTATAATCTCTGCTTCCTGGGCCTGTCTTTCTACTTAGCCTATTAGGTGACAGCGGAATTCACAGGTTGCATACTGTGCTCTCTCTTAGCCAGGTCCTTCAAGGGCCATCTCTGTTTATCTCTAGAAAACTCTTCCTGAAGAGTTTTTCACCTTGCCGAGTCTGGGAGACCATGTTGAGGGTGAGCTACACTTCAGCCCCAGCCTCCTAGACCTGTTCTCCAGATGCACTCCTCAGTCAGCCCTGGGCATTTGAGGTCTTTCTGGCATCCATGTGTCACCTATATTTAGTTGAAATATAATTTCCAACACATAGCAAATTCTTCTAGTGCCAGGGCCTGTAAGGGTAAATTACTATGTTTCCAAAGTTCTAAAAACTGCCTCTGGCTAATTGGACAGGAAACTTGGAGTGCAGGCAAGATGGGAATGGTGAAGTGGCTAGCAGGCCCTTGGTGCTCGTCGAGCCTTTAGATCAGCTGTCATGCAGATCAAACAGGTGACTGACCTGAGCGAGCTTGACCATCTCTGGTGCTGCTTTTGGGAGGCCCAGCTGCCCTTCTGTGAGGATAACAGAAATGGCAGGTGCTATGCTCCTGGCTCAGTAAATAGCCCACATTACGAGCCATGGGTTTCCAACCCAGGCTCCACTTTCTAGAAATGGTGCCTGTGGCATATTCAGAGCTGGGCCACACTCACTCTCCATTCTCTTCAGGGGCCTACATGCAGCCTGGTGCACGGGAGAACATCGCCTACCTCACCCACACAGAGCGGAGGAAGGACTTCCAGTACGAGGCCATGCAGGAGCGACGTGAAGCGGAGAACATGGCCCAGCGGGGCATCGGTGTGGCTGCCAGCTCTGTGCCTATGAACTTTAAAGACCTTATTGAGACCAAGGCTGAGGAGCACAACATTGTCTTCATGCCTGTCATCGGGAAGCGACACGAAGGGAAGCAGCTTTACACCTTCGGTCGTATTGTCATCTACATCGACCGAGGAGTGGTCTTTGTCCAGGGCGAGAAGACCTGGGTGCCCACCTCCCTGCAGAGCCTGATTGACATGGCCAAGTAGGCCGCAGCAGGCACAAGCAGGCTGGACACCACACAGAGGGACCTATTTATGAATAAACTACTAAAAATGTTCGAAACAATGACTTCTCTATTCAGGGATTATGAAAGACGAAACAAAGCCACTTTAGAAGTACATAAATCTTTTTTATCAAGTCCTTCCACAGCCTTGAGAACAAAGTGTCCCGTGCTCTGAATCTTCTCACCACAGAGAGTGGTTCCCTGCGGCTCCTCCATGGCAACCTTTCCTTTCGTTTCCAGTGGCAGCCGCTGCGGCCTCAGCCATCACTGAACAGGCTACAGCAAGTTCAAGTCCGTGGCAGCCGCTGCTGCCTCAGCCAACACTGAACAGGCTTCAGCAAGTTCAAGTCCGTGGCTGCCGGGCCTTGTTCCTGATGATTTCAAGGTCCTCACAGTCCTGATAATCTGGTTCTTCCTGAAATGCCCAAATCTCTGCGGGCAGCTGTTTCAGTTTTTGTACAGGGAACCAGTGAACAGAGGTGTCATTGAAGACATCCGCGTACTGTGAGGCCTGTGGAAACTCCAGCTCCTCCAGTCCTTCTAAAATCTGAACAGAAGAATTCAGATGTAAACCAGAAACTTAGTCACAGTAAACCCTACTCTCCTGGGTTCAATTTCCATTTACTGTTCACCTTCCGTTTTTTTTTTAAAATGAGGAATAGACTGTTTTAAGTGCTTTTGTACAATGAATTGAATGGCCCATGGGCTGTGATACTGACAATAAAGGAAAGAGGAAAAAATTAAGAGGCATATTAAGTGCCTTAGCATTCTGGAACTCAGACCCGTTGAGAGCTCACAGTGCAGTAACTCTGCCAGCCTTTAGTTAACCTCGTGAGCATCCTCCTGACATGTAAAGGCAGAGTTCTTCCCAAGAAAGGAGAAAACAGTGATTACAAACCCTTTTCAACCCCAACCCCTACATTCAGAAAAAGATACCTTTGCGATGTAGGTATAATTTTCCTTCAGAATCCTTGTCAACAACCTGTGGGGAAAACCACCATGGTTAGGATAGGCGGGTACATTTATTTAATGACTTCAGACAAAGGCAAGATGATTTAAATGTAACATGGATTTAAAAAAAAATTTGGAATGTAGAGTAAGATAAATGGTCATGAAACGTGAACGCCCAGTAACTGGTTTCCAGGGAGAAATGACAACAGACTCCTAGGTGCCAAGGAAAAGCGTTTCCGAGTATGAACGTCATGGGCACATTTCTGCTCAGGGATCGCTGGCGCTGCCTGACCTCGGGCTCACCTTTCCTTCAGGCCGCTGAAGCTGTTCCCAATGATGACCATCTTGGAAAGGGCCTCTATTGACCAGTTACTCCACAGGAGATTGTTGTACAGGGCTGTCCCACAGTGGAGCATGAAAAAGACCGTGGGCTCGCCGCAGATACTCCGCTTCCCTTCCTGGGTGCAGAACGCACAGTGTAAACACATTTCTTACAAAAACTATGTTGAGGACAGGGTATTGAGCTGAGAGGTCTTGCCAAGGAAGAATTAAATGGTGGTTATACTAATCATGTGAGGTGATGGATGCGGTAGCCTCTTGGTAAACAATGCTGTGTGTGTGTGTGTATCCCATCAGCTGGTATAACTTGATGTTAAACGTAACTTGTATCTCAATATAACAACAAAAAAAGCCCAGAGGAGGGTAAACTCAGTATCAATAGAAAAGAAGCACCTCCCACTGTGGGATCACTGTGGTGTAAAATTTACTGGCACGAGAGCTTGGCAAATCATGATGCCCGGGAGAGCTCCTATTTGCTTAGTAAATGTGTGTTGCACAGACAATGTCCCAGGCCAAATAGGTGGAGGCTGCAGTGGCCATCTGCAGATCCCTGTTATGAGTAAAGACCTCTCCAGATGCTCCCTGAGGGGGCACAACTGCCCATGAAAACAGTGCACGGCAGGGAGCACGAGGTGCTTTGTGGCCTGCCCCTCCTGCCTCTGGGTTCTGCCCTCTAGCAGACTCCTGGGTAGACCTTAAACAGCTCAGACCAGGCAGCCTCCCCCTCTCAGCTCTGGCACTCACTGTTGCACTCAGTGGCACGTACGGGCCGCACTGGCTCCCATTCCTCTTGGCCTCCAAAGCTCCGTCCCCAGCATAGAGCAGGCAGAGGTGAACAGAGCTGACTCCATGGTTCAGGACCTCTCTGCCATCAGCAGTGACTCAGCTCACCTCGTGATGGCGCCCCAGGAGAAATGCCATGCTGGTGGCAGGCCAGAGGGGCAGTGCTTATTCTCTAACTTGGGACAGGGCACATCCCAAACAGAAAGTACTCAATTAAGGCACCAAGGCCGTGTGCACCTTTCTTTTTAGTAACAGTAAATACCAACTCAGTGTAGTTAGAGCTTTCTTACAAGAAATTTTCAAACCAAACACGTCTGGTCCATGCCATTACAGGCCAGAATGTGGTTACTGAACGAGCCAACAGCTCATCATGGAGAGAGGCCAGGTCAGGCTGGTCAGCAGCTCTGTAGCCCTCCCCAACCCCTCATGTGGTACGTGAAAATGCGTACCTCGTTTTCACCGAGAACAGTCACACCAAGGCTGCGGAGAACTGCAGTTTCGAGCTGGCTAAACTGAGGGTCGTAGACCCAGCAGTGACTCCTGGGAATCTGCAGAGTGGAGGATTGAGTTACTTTACCCCAAACACCTGTGTGCACGCTGTGCCCAAGGCCAGGGGGCGGGGTGGGGTGTAAAGGTGGGTCCGCAAATTTACCTGAAACTTGTCCATGAAGAGAAGCAAAAACGTTAGTTGGCTCCTGGCTATGACACAGGTGGCAAAGTTCCCAAGGCCATAACACACACACTTCAGAGGGCAGTTGCCCACGACCAGCGTCTTTCCTGGGACGGAGCCAGTGCTCACTGCCGACTCATCACCAGGTGAGTCGAGATGCAGGTTTCCAAGGGCCTCGGAGAGAGTTTCCTTAGTGGCCTTCAGTTCCAGATGTTTCGTGAGACATGCAGTGATGGTTTCTGAAGAGCAAGTCCCCAAACATGTCTAGGCAGGGCAGTGAGGGCTACAGCCTCATTCCCAAGCAAGCCTGGGACATGAGCTGCTCTCCCTGTCCCCTCGTCAAAGTGACAGGCTGTCCACTCCCTGAACATCCACAGGCTTCAAACAAAAATTAGGTTTCACACACACATCTCCATAGAACTCCCGTGTGAACACGTTCTGACTTAACAAGAGGCCTGGGCAAGTGCAGGTCATGCTCTAAAGTACCTACTTCAAAAAAGTACAACAGAGAGCAGGGGAAACGGCAGCATTCTCAAAGCCACTAAAGTGACGGGGAGTAAGGATATGTAATGTGTAAAAAGCTCAGACTAAAAGACTGGCGTTTCAAAAGTCCCACAGTGAAATATACTGATGCTCCTCACATAAAGGTGGGTTTCCTTCTCTCTCCTTTTATTATAACTGGTATCAAGTTCAGTTGAACAAGTCTATACAGAAAAGCAAAACTAAAAAAAAGCCAGACATTCCCACAGTAAGTACAAATTTATCAAATTAGCAATGATATTTTTAAGCTAGACCCTGGCTAGGGAAGGTTTTATGACAAGTGGGCTCTCTCAGGCCCTGCACATACTAGAATTGGTAAAATGTTTCTGGAAAACATTTGAAAATGGATACCAATTTAGTCATTGCCTTTCACATAATTCCACTTCTGGAACTACTCTAAAATGATCATCCTACACTTGGCAAAAGTCTGCATCCAGGTGCAGACTGCAAAGCTGTGTATGATAACTAAAAGCTGTTCTTCAATGAAATTTAGTTATAATATTTCAGTTCATGTATTTATATTGTCACATGCATTGTTTAAAGAGAGATTAAAACATGGGGGGGGAGTTTCTATTGTAACACAAGGAAAAAGCAGGATAAAGAGAAACTCAACAGTCAAGATGACGACAGCTGACATTTGTTGCCTCCTGGGTAGCAGGCAAGCACCTTATTCTAAGCACTTAACTGAACAGCCTCATTGATGCTCAAAATTACACTACAGGACTGGTGCATTATCATCTCCAGACCCTAGACAAAAAAACTCAGGCCAGAGTGAAGTGCCAAAGGAGGCAGCCATAGGGAAGTGAGACACAACCCAGCATGTGCTCTGCTTATGAAGCAAAACATTCCCCATCGAGGGTTGGATTCATTTCTTTGCTCACATTCAGACCCTCCTCCCATTCCTACCACTCCCACCCACGCCTTGGCCAGATGGTACCCACCGAGTGCTGAGCTCCAGAAATCAGAGACAAGCAGGTCCTCCCTGTTGAGAAAAAAATGGTGTGGTCACCTCCTGCCCTTTTCAGGGTTACCCTAACAATGACACTCCTGCCCATGAGCTGGACACAGAAAGGAAGATGCAGTGTCTTAGAAGGGCATACGGTGAGCAGATGAACAGGTGTGGGGCCAGAGTGTGGACCGTGGGGGCTCAGAAAGAGGGAGTGAGTGCTTCCTGGAGGAGGCCCCTGCCTCCTGGGACCGGTCTGGGTCTGTTCTTTCTCCCTGGTCTACAACAGAGCCTAGCTCAGGGGAGCAGCTCTGTAAATAGTTGTCAGATGCAGGGATTTAGCCACTCTGAGCTTTAGTGTCCTCTCTAGAAGGAGGATAACAATCCCAACCTACCATGAAAGTTAAGGGGGGCATAAACAGACCAACAGCACGGAACTTAGCCAGGACTCAGTACCTAGCGTGCTGTCATGAACAATTCCAAGATTGAAAAAAAACAACAAAGTGTCTCAACTTTATTTGTTCAAGTCAACTGGTTTCTGTAAACATAGTCAACAGTGAATTAAAGTGAACTAAGTGGATTCCATTGGGCCTGGAAGACCCTGACATCCCAATTCATGTCCTCTAAAGCCACTGAGATCACACAGCTTTATTACTTTATTAGATACAGAACAGCTTCTGCAAGAACCTAGGAGTGAGCTGATTGCTGCATATACAGCAGATGACAAAAAAACCCCACTCCCTAATGTGATGACCCACAATTAGAAGGGCACCCAAAACCCAGAGTTTTTCAGAGAACAAATGGTTCATATCCCTCTAGGCACCCCTACTTTTCAGATGTGCACAATGGGCTGAAAACGGCTCTCAAAGGGCTACATACACTCACCCCAAGATCCAGTGAACAAAAAGCCCTTGAAAAGCACCCAGACTTTTATCTGAAAGACTCGCTAATGCTCAGGTGTTGGTGAGAGGGCAGGGGTACTGGGGTACTCTAGGATGGCGGCTTCTAGGCACTATTTTTCTACCGTCCCTCTGCCTGACTAGTGCTAGAAGGTGCCAGTATTTTACTCTAGGCACTTTATTTTCCTCTTGTCCGTAGGCACCATTTTAACATGCATGCTCTGCTCCTAAATGGAAGCCTTTACATGCATCTGGTGTCCGAGATTTTATGCCCCTGTTCTTAAGGCTGCGACGCCGGGGACTCTTCATTGCCTGGTTATCAGGGAGCAGGGGCTCTAGGATCCAACAGTTTGGTAATGACCAGAGAGCCAGTTTCTGACAGGCTACCACCTTGCCAGCACCCCCACGCACTGCAGACACAAGTATATCCATTTTTCTGCAGGAAAAAATGAAAACAAAAAACATCTATTTACTCATCTTGGAACCTCACCATGAGGGAGGGACAGGCTTCTTCATGCTACGCATTTTCCCTCTGCCTCACTACAGTCACAGAAAGAAGTTTATGCATTCAGTACAGCCCATCTTTTGTGACTACTGTCCACGCTCTAGTGGTCAGCAAGGCTTGTGATCCCAGAGGAATATATATATATATATTTGTATCCTGCTAAGGATCTGCCTTTCCATCAGCCTGAATCCAGATGCTGACATATATCTCCCTCCTTTAGGAAACTCAGCCATTGGTGGGAACGGGTCTCATCCTAATCAGTGCTGAGACTTAAGCCTGTGCCTGGAGGGAGACCCAAGAGTATCATTTCATGAGGTCAGTATTACCCTGACTACCAAGACCACACAAGGACATCACAAGAAAAAAATATAGGTCAACATTCCTGCTGAATATGGATATGAAACTCAACAAATATCAGCAAATTGAATTTGGAAATAGATTAAAAGGGTCATACACCATGATCAAGTGGGCTTTATTAGAGGGATGCAAGGGTGAGTCTAGATCTGTAAGTCAATCAATATGATACACCACATTAAAAAAATGAAGAATAAAAAGCATAACCATTAACAAATGCATAAAATTAATTTCACAAAATTAAATAAATGAACTTAGTGAAGTCGTAAAAAATTAAAATCAATATACTAAAATCTGTTGTGTTTCTATTCACTAATAACAACATAGTAAAAAGAGAAATTAAGAAAGCAGTATCAATTACAATTGCATGAAGAATAAAATACCCAGCATAAACTTAACCAAGAAAATGAAGAACCCTTATGTTGAAAATGATAGGACACTGATAAAAGAAGTTGAAGGTACAAAAAGTGGAAAGATATTCTGTGCTCATGGATGAATCAATAGTGTTGAAGTGTCCATCCTACTCAAAGCAATCTAAAATTCAACATAATACCTGTCAAAATACCAATGGTATTTTTCACAGAAATAGTAGAAATCCTAAAATGTATACAGAACCACAAAGGATTCTACAGAACCAAAGTTATCCTGAGAAAGAGAACACTGCTGGAGGTATCATGCTTCATGGTTGCAAACCACATTACAAAATGTCAATAATCAAAATAGTATGATATTGGCATAAAAAAGATAACAGATCAATGGAGCTGTCAGGGTCAGGCACCAGCCAAATAAGTCACGTGATTATTACACCAGAATATCTGCAGCCTCTTGAAGCATCTGCTCCTTGTACATGCCCATGTTTGGCAGGTGCCAGACCCTGACAGGAACAGAGATAAACCCATCCACATATGGCCAATTAATTAAAGACAAAAGGTGAAGAACATATAAAGGGGAAAGGACAGTCGCTTTGATGAATGGTGTTGAGCTATCTTTCTGTGGTAACACGAGCTGTAACTGCCTCTTGACTCTAATTCTGGGGAGTTGAGCTCATGAAACTAGTCTAATTTCTCTCAGTTGTGATGGTCCTTCAGCTGTTAATGTTAATGAAAGTTTAACAGCAGTTATTAATTGAGCCTTTAAAGGACTGCAAATAAATATAAGCAATAACATCAAAGAACAAAAGTAGCTAACATGTACCCTATGTTCTAAGTGTTATTTGAGATACAGAACTAGGATTTGGGGTGGTGGGGAGAGTAAGATAAGTATATAGAATAATGATGAGCTGTGAAGCATGGGTTTTGGAACCCAAAGTAGTTTCTATGCGTTATTATCTCTGACAATCAATGCCCTACCAGAATCCTAGGGGCTGAGATGTTCACACTGATAGTATAGAAAGCTTAAGCCGGTGTCTGACACATGGCAAGTGCTCAGTTAACTAACGACAACGATCACGAAAATGGCAGTCCCCTGGCTTCCCTGGTGCTAGCAGCCTCAAGCAACACGGCATATTATCAATGCCCAGCGCTGAGCTTGGTACTGAGCTTGCCACGTCTCGGCACAGGTCCTAAGCTAGCACTCTGAAGTGTCGAATCCATGTGCCTGCTAGCTCACTAAGCCTTCAAGACAAGCCTAAGGAGTACTATTTTCACGCCCATCTCGCGTGAGAAAACCGAGACACTGGTTTACTTGACCTGCCTGAGGTCCCCTAGCCGAACTGTAGTCACAGGAATGACAACCTTTAGGGTGGTTCCGATGGCGCAGACCTGTAATGAGCTCGCTATCTACCCCGAATCCTCACACTAACCCATCTAGGTTACGCTCATTTTAGAGACAGGGAGACTGCGGCTCGGAAAGGTTTCCACGGGCATGAAGGTTCGGGCCCGGGGCCACTGCGCACGCACCGGGCCTCCTGGATGCGACGGAGGGTCACTCGGTCGTCCGCCTCGCCATCCGCCTCCGGGCACCGGGCCGCCGCCACCCCTTTCCGCCGCGGTCGCCGCGCGGCAGAGCTCCTTTTCCGCGGAGCCGCTGCAAGCCAGGGCTCCAGCGCCGGCGCCGCCATGACCCAGCCGTCACCCGCGCGCTCGCTACGTCATCGGCGCGCGCCAGCGCTCCCGGAACTGTAGGGGGTGGGAGGCGCGAGCGGCGCCTGACCCCGGCTTCTCCGCCGCGCGCGAAGGTACCGGGCGGTAGACGCTGGCGCGTTGCTGCTCCCCACTCCGGGTCCGGAGCCCCGAACCCCAAGCCCCGGGCTGCGGGGCCACTCTGGTGGGTGGGCGGCGTCCTGTGGCGCGGGGTCACCGAGGGGCGGGAACCCGGCGGAGAGCCCCAGTAGACCCCTGGTTCCTAGCGCCCCGGAGCTGAGGCCAGAAGCTCCCCAGTGTGGTCCTGGCCTTTTACGGGCCTTAGCACCCCTTTTCCTGCCCTGCCGACCCATAGTTTCCGCTTTCTGCACCACCGACAACACCGCACCTCCTGACGGCCCCCCACCACCCTCCGTCTCACTTGACTCTTCTGGGTCGCCACTGTAGCTCCTAGGCTGCCAGAACTTTCTTGGGCTCCGGTCACATCCTGACGCCAACCTTACCCCGGAGCTATTACCCACCGCTTTTGGACCTTTCAGAGAGAAGCGCGGCCTCTGCAGGATAGGACCCAGTGCTCTGGGAGCAAGGGGTGGAGGGGTTCGAGCCCTTCTTGCTTCCAGGAGTTTAGATGCACCACCACGTGCTTTCTATAGACTACCCTGAGAATGACTCTGGAGGGCCACCCCAAGATAGCTAGAGCTGAGAAAAGGTAGATGTTTACAGGCCACCAGAGGTACAGTGTTCTAGATGATGTGCTTCCTTTGGTGAAAACTTGTGTACTGGGGGGGGGGGTGACAGATGGTGAGCAAGCATTTAAAACCATGTCGCTGGGGAGATATACTTGGAGGGAGTGAAGGTAAGAATACAGTTTTGAAGAGACCCAGGGATTGCCTTGTGGAAGGATTAGGGTTAGACCTGTTTTGCTGTCCCTGAGAGTGTTGTCTAGATTTGTGTGGGGAGTTCCTGGGAGACTGCCTTTAGCTTGATGGAAGGATCAGTCTTACTCTTTGGAAGGAGCTAGCCAAAGAGAGTTAAGGCAGTTTTTTTTTTTTTAAGGTCCACAAGATGAAGATTAGGGTAAATCGTGCCTACTAACTCTGAAATGCTATGAAATGCTGCCTTGTCTATTCTGTTGTGGGAGTTTGAAAGCCACTTGTTAAATTCTCTCTTTGTTCTTTGGAAACATGCCCAACTCTGGATTTCTGCATGTTCAGATTACTTTTGGGTGGTCAAGTTGTTCCTTAATTGGGGTTCCACTATGACTGCAGCCACCGCCTTTGACACCCACTGCTTTTCACACCATTTAGTTTGTCTTCTGTGAGACATAACTGTTCAAGGAACTAAGGGACTTCCTGTGAAGTTCCACTACCCTCTTTTTTATTTGAAACACAATCTTCAACTTTCTGGAAAGCTTTTTTGAAGTAGACTGTTTGCTGCACCCTGCTGGGTCATATGCTAGCTCATGGGTTTCTGAAATAATCTGTTCCTTGTGTTTATTTTAGGGTCAAGTCACTGATGTTAGCTTCAAAACTTCTAAAAGAATCTTCAGAATGGCGTTAAACAAGACAAGCTACTAATTGATTCAGGTCCCGCCTGCAGCATGTGCCTTCTCTGTTGGGTTAGCTTAGCAAGACGCTCTTAGAAAAGGTCATTCTGCAGTGAGCTAGAGAGCTGATGCTTATGGAGCCAGATCAGTGGACTTGACTCTTCTGGGAGGCTCTCTTGCTTCATTGTATTCTCTGCCAGAGTCTTAAGAGGTGGACGGGCTCATGGATGGGAACTAGCACTTTCATGCTGAATAAAGATGAAGCAGGTTGACCCGTGAGACTGAAAACTCTGAAACCACATCTGGATTCACCAGATTCATTACTGCTGGAGAGAAAGAAGCCACAGTGGAAAAGATAACCCAAGTCAAGAGCATGAAGGCGACTGGAGAGTAAATGGCCACCTCCACCTCATCAGAGACGAAGTCAGCCTCCTGGTGAGTCAGCAGGTCTCCTCCATGTAGCTCTTGCCAGACTGCTAGATGGCTGTTTTGGGTTCACTGACGATCACTAGCCAGATTGTCTTTGTGTGTTTGTTCATTTTAGACATTTATTTTATTTATTTATGCATACAAGAACAGGGGTGTAGGCCAGTGTGGGGGTGGGGTGTGGTGATGATTCACCAGAGACAGAGTGGGGAGCAGGCAGAACAGGCAGGTCTACTGAGATACACTGCTGAGGGGAGCAGCAAGGAGACAGGAGAGGTCTGCTGTGCCATGTGGGTCAGCTCCCTGGCCGGGGAGTGAACTCTTGCTGAAGTGGCTGGGCAACTTAATGGCACTGAGACTTTAACCCCTGAACCATCAGAGAGGCCCTTGTCTTGATTTTATTAAGGAAAAAGAATTCCTTTCTCCTTAGAGCAGTTAAATCAAGCATGGGAATCATTTCTCAATCCCAAGATGACTAATCGTAACCTTGCACGCCTCTTGCAGTGTGAACGAGTCCAGTATTGCCTGTAGGTTGTGGAAAGATTGCCATGGCTGGTCACACACGGCTCTGCTAATCATGTGGGCACTGGAGCCTCCACTTTTGAAAGACTGGAAATGGTTGCAGTGCAGAGTGACAGACACCACAAGCTTTGGCCAGTCTGGCTGTTGTAGTGTGTTAACCCCAGAGGGATTAATCTTCTCTCATAATTTAGATCAGCAAACATGAATCGAAGTGGAGAAAGTGAAAGGCGTGGCCTAAATGGGACCAGCAGGGTTCAGTGACTGCGCACATGTGTGGAAGTGAAAAAGATAGCATTTCAGAATGACTCCTAGGTTTTCTTTTGTGTGCCAGGAAAAGCAGGGGTGCTTACCAACCAGAGAATGTGGGGGTGGGGAGGGGGGTGGAGGGTAGGATAGGACCTGGCAGTGGGCTTCTGAGTCAGGTTTGAAACATTTTTGAGGCTTTTTTCTAGACTTGCCCTGCTGTCAGTTTCATACCTGGCCCAAGAACTTGAGCAAGTGGAGGTGCTAGAACCAGTATTTGCCAGCAGGAGGCTAAGATGGGAACCAGTGATGGTGGAGAAGGGGTGTAGAGGCCCGAACAGAAGAGTGCAAGTAACAGGATGGGCCCAGCTGCCCCTTACTGTCTGGTCTGCTAAGTGTCCTTTCAGGGATATGGCGCAAAGGCCAGGGCCAGCTGGCATTCTCTGTGTGAGTGCACACTGTCACCTCCAGGGAAGAGTTGAAGGTGGTGGAAATGGAGGCGGATCCTGTGGGCTGAGGAAATCAGAAGTCCCACCAGGGATTGGGCTTGAGTTTTACTTAAGGCGTGGGAAGGTTTAGACAGAGGGGTTTGACGTTTCTTTGTGAATTCCCAGGGACCTCTTTCCCCTGCCCTGAGCCGACAGTTTACTCTCTGCCTTTTATCCTTGTGGCAGGACTGGCAAGGCAGATGCCCTGTGGCCCTCTGGACAGGTGTGTGTTGAGGTGAATGCGGGAATGGGGAGAACATCCAAGACTGTCTCCCCTCTTTTATGATCTGAGCTTTCAAGGACAGTTCACAGCACCATGTGGTTATATAGTTAAAGGATCCCCTTCTCAAATAAGAGAAGTCATTGTGGGTGCTTCTCTTTCCTCCAGCTCCTTTTCTGGTTTTCTGCAGATAGTGTGACGGCTGGGTAGAGGCATATTTTTAGTTTGGTTTATGAAATGGCTTTATCAATTTGTAGCTACTGGGGCCACCAGAAGGCTTTCAGGGTGGTAAGTTCTTCCTGGGCTGGGCCATAGGAAGCTGTGTTTTAAAATGCCTTGATCACTGGATGAAAGGAAAATGGCTCCCTTCTATTCTCTTGCCAGGTGGAATTACTTTTTCCTTTATGATGGCTCAAAGGTAAAGGAAGAAGGCGATCCGACCAGAGCTGGCATCTGTTATTTTTATCCTCCTCAGGTAAGCCACACAGAGTTTTATTGTTGGTGGGGATTCCCGCTCCTTAAAATGGCAACTTTTCAAAGTCTAGGGTTTATGTTGGGCCTGTTTTCTTTCATCATCCAGGCTTTGGATATTTCTCGTCTTGTGTTTTTTCTTGTTGTTGTCCTTGAATTCCCAGGCAGCTCAGTGCTTCCATCTTCTGTGGTTCTCTGTCCCCATCATAATTTCCCACATGTCCCCTTGCTCTCAAGTTGTGACCAACTCGTTAAGAAAAGTTCTTATCCACATGCAGAAGAGAGGAGAGATTCATCAGCTCATATTCCTGTCACAAGCATCAACAATGTTACACACTTCCCCAGTTTTGTAACACCTGTCCTAACCCTAACTCCCCTCAAACCCTGCTTTTTTCCTGAAGTTTTTTGAAGAACATCCTACATACTATGTCATCTCACTCCATCAAGTAACATCTAACAGAAAAGGACATTTTTTTAGTGTGTTTTTAATTTTAATTACATATATGTATATTTTTCATCGTTCTTCATTTTCATACAGTGTGCGCTTTATCATCTCATGTACGGTCCCCAGGAAATTCCCACTGCAATTCACCCATGTTCTTTCACCATAGTCCCTTGTGCACTTCCCACCTGTTTTGATCCAGTTTCCTCCTCCTCTCCAAAGAATGTCTCTGGTTTATAGTTGCCTATTGATTTTGGCTTTTACTTTGTTATAATTATTTCTCCCTCCTCCATCCCTTATTTAGATTCTCCTGTAAGAGAAACCATCTGGTATTTTTCTTTTTCCTTCTAACTTATTTCACTGAGCATGATCCCTTCCAGCTCCATTCATGTTGCTGTGAATGGCATGATTTAGCTTTTTTGATTACCGAGTAATATTTCATTGTGTCTGTACCACATCTTCTTGAGCCAGTTGTCTATTTTTGGGCATTTGGGTTGTTTCCATGGCTTACAGATTGTGAACAATGCTTCAGTAAACAAAGGGGTGCAGGTGACCTTTTGAATTAATGTTTTTGCATCCTTTGGGTAAATACCCAGGAGTGGAATTGCTGGATCCTACGGGAGGTCCATTTTTTTTTTT